CAGATTTGTGGTTTGCAAATATTTTTTCCCATTCCATGGGTTGTCTTTTCATTTTGTTGATGGTTTCTTTTGCTGTGCAGAAACTGTAGTTTGATGTGGTCCCACTTGTTTATTTTTGATTTTGTTGCTTGTGCTTTAAGTGTCATATCCAAAAAATCATTGCCAGGACCCATGTCAAGGAGCTGGATTTCCCCCTGTGTTTTCTTCTAGAGTTGTGTGGTTTTCGGTCTTCTGTTTAAGTCTTTAATCCATTAGGGTTAATTTTCGTGAATAGTACAAGATACGGGTCCATTTTCATTCTTTTCCATGTGACTAACCAATTTCTCCGGCACCATTTATTGAAGAGACTATCTTTTTTCTCCATTGAGTATTGGCTCTTTTGTCAAAATTACTTGACCACACATTATTATTTTGTTTTAAAACATTTATCAATCACCTCCATTTCATTTTCTGAGGATTATTTTTAGTATCAAGTTCCTATTGTGCGTTACAGGGTAGTATACACTATAAACATGTGTTTATACCTAAGTCTTTCAAAGGAATATATTTGTTTTATGTTGATCTGATCATACCTATAATTCTAGGCAAAAACTTACATTCGTTAGCCAGTATAGGATACAGTTTTGTGTGATAAAACACATGCTGCATTATTTCACCAAATCTGACTGCCATATGGAATTTATCAATAATAATAATTAGCAAAAATAATCCCAAGTTCATTGACTTCCGTCATAACAATTATCTGAATTACTAGCGTTGGTGTGACATTTCTCCCAGCCTGTGGTACTCTTGCACATATTTAATGTAAGGTCTTTTACATCATGATCTTATAATTCTGGCAAATGAGATAAGGGAATGGTGACCTTATGATTCTGACTTACACTGTTTTGTTCAAATGTAATATATTTGAAGATACTGACAGTTGCTTGATAGTGACAGGTCTGTTGTATAGAATTTCTTTGATGGGAGGGGCCTGACATACAGGATTATCAGAGAAGAAGAAGCAGAAAAAATGCTGTTGGTTTGATAAAAGTCTGATGGAGTAGTTGTTGCGATAGACATAAGTTAAAAGCCACAAAATTCTCTGAAACGGTTAATAGTAAAGCTGTTTGGAACGAGATTGCAAGCAAGTTTTCTGAGGTAATAACTGTGAAGTGCTTCTTGGAGAGGTCTTAAGAGTTTGTGAATTGCTAAATTTTATTTTGCCGTAAGTAGAAAACAACATGCGTTGTGTGTATATATTGAGACTGGTTAATTTAACCTTATTCACTTTTTATCCCAAGCAAATAATGGATAATACTGCATCCAGTTTCTCAGGAAGAGTTCATACTTTTCCTTGCTGTGGTCAAGAGAAGGAAACAGGCAATACATTTGTTCAGAATTTCCCAGAAAGAACACAGTCAACACCAGAGCTGGGGTGGCCTTGGAGGGCAGAGATCGGATGTCGCACCCACAGCCAAGGCCCATGGTTGGCCCTCATCAGTGTTTGAGTTAATGCCTGAGTTTTGGTTAGTTTGTTTTTTTCAGTAGATAAAATTTAAAAAAGAGTGGCTGGAAGCTCTTTCTGGACCTTGGTGAAACATCATGAAAAAACTGTTCGAAGGGGTTGGAGTGGGGGTGGGGGAATATGTACACTAGTTTTAATGATTAGTTTTCCTTATCAGTTAAATGGTGGAAATAGTTAAGTTCTCTGCTTTCCTCCTCGGGCCACTTTTGAGGACCAAATGAGTCATGTTGTCTTCCTAGTCATTCATTTTCAAACATTTATGATGTTAGCTTTTTAAATCCTTTTAGCTAGCTTTCAGGCCTTCCTGCAAAACTGTAGGGTGGCCTTTCTTACTACCCCATTTTACCCACAGCTAAGAAAACTGAGGCTGGGGTTTGCTCAGACATGGCTGGAATTCATACGCAAGACTGTCAGACACATCCTCAATAAATTCACAGCAAGTAAGATGGACAGATACTTAAACAAATATGTGAAAATATTTTTAGAGTATAATGCCAAGCACAAGTATACCATCAGGGCATCACTGTTGTTGTATTTATCACAATGATTGATATTATTGTTGATGTTGTGTGGTTTAACATGATATTCTTTGCCTTAGATAAACTGAAAAAACACATTTGTTTTCTGGTATAAAAGTGACACTTGTTTGTTTTTTTAATTTAAATTTTCATAACTGGAAAACATACAGATAGTCTCACCCATAGGTAATCTCAATTTTATGTATTAATACATGAGTAAATACTCACGTAAATGTGTATACATACAGGTTTAACAATGAGACATGGACCCTTCTTCGGGTTTTAGAGACTGGTGCCCATCTGCCTGGAGTGTTTCATGTGGGATCTTTTCTTGAGTCAGACAATCTCTTCTGACCCTCTTATGAACCTCTGATATCCAGAGATTTCTTAGGTAAGAATAGGGCCTGTCTAGGGCGCCTGGGTAGCTCAGTCGTTAAGCATCTGCCTTCGGCTCAGGTCATGATCCCAGGGTCCTGGGATCAAGCCCTACATCGGGCTCCGTGCTCCGCGGGAAGCCTGCTTCTCCCTCTCCCACTCCCCCTGCTTGTGTGCCTTCTCTTGCTGTGTCTCTCTCTGTCAAATGAATAAATAAAACCTTTAAAAAAAAAAAAAAGAATAGGGCCTCGCAGTGACTCATTCACAGTGTATTCAGGAGGATATAGAAGGTTCCAGAACCACTGCCACCTCTTCTTGTGTCCTGCCTCGTAAATGTGGTTGCCTTGAATGTATTTGCAGTTAGAAATATTGGAGAAAGCAGAGTGAGTACTGATATTCCGCTGCAGTCTGAAGTCCCAGAGACAGCTAGAGGTGACCTACTAAGGTTTGAAGGAAGGCTAGGCTCAGACTCAGGCAAGTAGCCGGGCTCAGTGCTCCTGGCTGCTCCCTCAGCCTCCTTACTGAGCTCACTCCCTTAGCTGTTAGCCTCTTTGTTATGTGGCAAGTAAGGTGTGGCTCTTTTTCCGTGTTTGCGGCGTTTTGCTTTCTCTGCATTGTGGTCTCTTCCTGTAATTAGCATGGTTAAAAGGAAGATGTAAACTTAAACATGGTTTTAAAAAAACAGCCTGCTGGACTTTTGAGCTGGATTTAAATCCGAGCTGTTATTTAAATTGATTTCTGACCTTTGATAAGTATTAGACTGCTTCAACAGTAAAATGGTGATAATACTTATTTGTAGAATTATCTTGACCATTAGGGATATAAAATGCCATCCTCATAAAATAACACTGAGAATCATTAACTCTTTGCTTTTACTGGATCTGCGTACATATGAAAACAGCAGGACATCTCTGTTTTTTGAATTCCATTGAAGTTCAGGTGCCCAGAGTTGTATGGGGCAGAAGTTAGACACTGGAAGGGTTATATGCTTGTAGCACATTTCTGCCTCTTGAATTGTTAAGGGTGTTACACAGCCTTTGAAGTGAAAGAAGTCTCAAGGGTAAGTTGGGCCAGTGGTATCTTTAAGGAAGATGGGGATCCCAGTGGAGCGAAGAGATCTCAAAAGTGGCTAGTGTGTCCTTGCATTGTGCATGGGGTAGAGTTGCTTTTTGATTTGTGGTCACAGACATTTTCTACAAGGCATGTCATTTCTGGGCTTTTCAATTTCGGTCTGGCTCTGAAACCTTTCATCCAAACATGGCACCCCATTTCCAATTTCTTCTTTATACCAGACTGGCCTATCTGCAGATCTTATTTTCCTTTAGCTCCACCTTAGTGAATCAACCCTTTATATCCCTTTACCCATCTTTTCTTTTATAAGCCCTGGACTCACAGCAAATTCCATGTGGCCTGAGTATCTAAAGAGTAGCAAAGAATTGAAATTCATGTTTGGATTCCCCTCTGTGGAAATCCCCTCTTCCTGCGTTGCCAGTCCCTTCTAATCCGGATGCCCACCATACTAATAGTTTGTTAAAAATTTAAAGCCTAGCAGAAGTTCTTCCCCAACCTGTTGGGCTTGCCAAAGAAGTCCCAGACGTCTGTCCTCAAGAAGTATATAGTTTAGTGAGAATTAGGCAGCACTGGGGTTCCCTAAGGTTTTCCTTGGACATGGTTTGTTCCCTGGACCCCCTCTTCACTGGCCATGATTGCTTGATGAGCCCTTAAACCTCAACGTGTTTGTTTGCAAAAAAGCTTTATCTTTCGTAACTACTTGTCTTTAGAAACCTGCCCGTCTAGAAGAGGGACCTCTGAATATTGTTTCCTCCAAACAAATAACATCCAACGCTTCTGCAAACCTTTTTGGCAGGAGCATAGAATCCATAATTCCGGGATTAAGAGCTAGCATTGTGGCTTGGGGTTTGGGGAGTTTTAGCTAGACCTACCTAGGACCCGGCAGAGTAAGTTGGATAGTAAATCATTAGGGGTTTGTTTTTCCAGCAGACGAGGTGATTGAGGGTTATGTCTTGTTTTAAGGAGGCAATTCTGCTTATTAAGACATTATATTAAAGTGAGCATCCTTGAATATCTTAGTTTTTCTTTCATCTTTTTCAATTAAACAAGTATTTAATACCAGTTACAATCCAGTCAGTGGTCTAGATCTTTATATTCATGTTGTTTTAATTTTTAAACTAATTATTTTTTAGAATTTGGTAATGCATGTACATTATACATTAGGTTATACACTGAAAAGTAACTCTTCCTTCAGCCCCTTCTTGCCTCAGCCCTGGATCCTTCTCAAACTCTGTACCAGTTTCTTACGTATTCTCCCAGATATAGTCCATGCATATGCAACCAGCTATGTGTATAATATTCTTTTTCTCACAAATAGTGCTGGCAAGCTATGAGAGACTTACTTTGGTGGCCCTCCCAATGAACTACGCCTCCTTGTATTTAAGCCCTTCTGTAATTCCCTCCCATATTGGCTGAGCTTGGCCATGTGACTGGCTTTGGCCAATGGTGAATTAGTGAGTGTGATGCAAGTAGAGGCTTGGTAAGTGCTTGCACATTGGGCCTTGTTCTCTGGGAATGCTCACTATTGTGACAGCTGCTGCTCAGAACCCAGAAACCAGCAACTGTGAGGTACCCAGCGTAGGCATGTGGAGAGGCTTCACGGAGGAGAACTGAGGTCCTTGCCCATGGCAACCAGACAATAGCCAGCCTCAACTTGCCAGCCATGTGAGGGATAGACCGTCTTCTTGGAAGTAGAACCTCCATCCCCATTGACACCACTCCAGAGGATGCACTGAGGAGCAGAGACAAGCTTTCCCTGCTGAGCCCTGCCCACATTGAAACAATGTGAGCTGTCATTCTGAGGCACCAGATTTGGTTTGTCTTGCAGCAACAGATAACTGAAACACTGTATTCACCATGTATTCTGTGACCTGCTTTTTTTCACTGAATGATATATTTGATAATCCACCTATTTCAGTATATACAGAGTTACCTCATTCCTTTTTTAAGAGCTGGTTACTATTCCTTTGTATAGCTGTGTAGTAATTGAATTAATCAACCCTATTGGTGGATATTTAACGTTTCCAGTTCTTTGCAGTCTTTAATATCTTCGCTGCATGCTTGCTTTTATACATGAACAAATATATTTATTGAGTAAATTCTTGGAGATGGAGTTGCTGGGTCAAAGAATATTTGGCTTCGTCATTTTCATGTGCATTGCCAAGTTGCCCTCATGAAAGGTTACATCCCCACCTCTAGGGCATGAGTTTACTGTGCTGGTCCCAGCGGTACTGCAATGCTGTTGAAATGTCACATTTCTGCCTTGCTATTGTTTTTGCATATATTGAAAAGGCATTTGCATTTCCTTTTTGATGGACTGTCTTTTTTCTGTTGGATTGTTGGCCTTTTTCCTCTTAGAAGGAGCTTTTTGTATTTTAAGGAAATTAGCTCTTAATACGAAGCAAATCTTTTCTCCCCCTCTGTTTCTCATTTATCTTTTTCCTTGGTTAGAGCAGTGTTTTCTCCTAATTGTGGTTAGATTTATCAGTCTTCTATAGCTTTTGGATTTTCTTGTTTTTCTGTTTCTTTTTTCATATTTAGACTTTCCCCTGCCTGAGATTATAATGGGTATTTTCCTGTGTTTTCTTGTATTATTACTGTTTTGCTTTTTACATCTTCATCTCTGAGCTAGCTGAAATAGCTCTTGATAAATAGGTTCCAAATTCTATTTTTCCCAGTTGTCCATTAAAACTGTTGTGCCGGGGCACCTGGGTGGCTCAGTTGGTTAAGCGACTGCCTTCAGCTCAGGTCATGATCCTGGAGTCCCAGGATTGAGTCCCGCATCGGGCTTCCTGCTCCGCAGGGAGTCTGCTTCTCCCTCTGACCCTCTTCCCTCTCGTGCTCTCTATCTCTCATTCTCTCTCTCTCAAATAAATAAATAAAATCTTTAAAAAAAAAAAAAAACAGCCTTGACTATTTAAAAAAAAAAAAAACTGTTGTGCCATGTCATCCTTATCATATACTGCATTTCCATATTTATACCACAGGTAATCTCAGTATATTTATTTAATGCAATAAACTCTTGAGTTGCTATCCCATAAATTACTTATTTTCTTTTTTCTCTACTATTTAGAAAATACTGTAGTGAATATTTTTTAAAAACAAGTCTTTATAATTATTAATCCCAGACTAGTTTAGGATTTCCTTTGTGGATGTACAAATGAACATTTATAGTCTGCTTTGAAAATTATTTAAACTTTCATTTTGCTAAGCTGCTCAAAAGCTGAAGTTGGAAAGATAGGTGTTTTATGCACAGGGATACGGAGAAGATCAATCCATGTAATTGAGATTCATCTGGAGATATATAGGTAAGATTGTGAAGGCACAGAGAGTGACATGCTTTTTGATCATGTACCATACAGAAAGGCCTGTTCCTGAATTTGAGAAGCATATAATAGTACTGGTATAAAAACTATCTCTGATCAGGAGTGTGGGGAGGCTGGGGCCCTGCGAAAAAAGGAAGATTTGGTTTTGCTAATAGAATGGCTGAAGTCAGGTCATTACGGGAAGAAAGAAGTCAGGAAATTATGCTTGTGCTCTGGTACATTAAGAAAATGCGTCCATTTAATTCAGGGAACCCTTGTGATTTATAGGTACCGACTCTTAACTGTCCCAGACCCCCAAGGGGACAGTGCCACTCAGTGGAGGCAAAACTGAGAAGTTCCTCCAGCCTTCCCCCTCCTGCCCCTCTAGGTCCAGCCACTCTTGCTCATTTCCCCTGGCTCACGGAGCATACTTCCAGACCTTTTATCACAGGCCTGTGGTCTGACCCCACAGGGCCTGGGAGGTCTGCATTTGGAACACGTGCCCATGTGGTGGTTAAATTTAACCCCTGCTAAGAGAATGAGATGGACACCCCTGGAAAGAGAGACACAATTAAGGTGCTGCCCAGTCTACGTATGTGTGTTGCAGCAGGATCCAAGCTCTGCAGGGAGATTTCAGGAATCAGCCCCAGGTGGGCCTGCCACGCTCGTTTGTGCCTGTGAGTGGTATCACACTCTCTTCCTTCCCTAGAGAAACCTGCACATCTTCTAGGTAAGAAAACACATTTTGCCAAGGTGGACAGTTGATGTCTAGGTTCAGAGTCACAGAACGTTCGAGCTAAAAGAAACTCATCAGAACCATTTCATTTGGTCAGTCATGTTTTTATAGCTTTCTTTCCCTGCATTTTATGATCTTAAACTCTCGGGCTGGTTTGACACCCATGGCATTGTTTTCCATTTTCTCAGTGCCAGACAAGCTGGGATATTTCAGCAAATATTTAGTTTCAAGGCTAAAAAAAAAAAAAATATGCTCTTTCTTTAACCTTTAGATCCTGTCTAAACTTTCTCTGCCCACTCGTGCCGGGGAGCCAGCAATGAAGCAGAGTTTCGCCTTTGACAATGTTGGCTATGAAGGCGGCCTGGATGGCGTGTGCCCCCCTCAGATGACCAGCAGCACCATCAGCATTTCGGGCATGACTTGCCAGTCGTGTGTGAAGTCTATCGAGGGCAGGATTTCCAGCTTGAAAGGCGTCGTGAGCATTAAGGTTTCCCTGGAACAAGGCAGCGCGACCGTCAAGTACGTGCCGTCCATCCTGAGCCTGCCACAGATTTGCCGGCACATTGAGGACATGGGCTTTGAGGCCAGCATCGCAGAAGGAAAGGCCGCCTCCTGGCCTTCAAGGTCCTCGCCTGGCCTGGAGGCCGTGGTCAAGCTCCAGGTGGAGGGCATGACCTGCCAGTCCTGCGTCAGCTCCATCGAAGGCAGGCTTGGGAAACTGCAAGGGGTAGTGAGGGTCCGAGTGTCCCTCGGCACCCAGGAAGCAGTCATTACCTACCAGCCTTATCTTATCCAGCCCCAGGACCTCAGGGACCATGTCAATGACATGGGCTTTGAAGCTGTCATCAAGAACAGAGTGGCGCCCGTAAGCCTGGGACCAATTGATATTGGGCGGTTACAGAGGACGGACCCAAAGACACCTTCGGCTTCTGATAACCAGAATCTCAATAACTCTGAGCCCTCGGGGCACCATGGGAGCCATGTGGCCACCCTGCAACTGAGAGTGGATGGAATGCACTGTAAGTCTTGTGTCCTGAATATTGAAGAAAACATAGGCCAACTCCCCGGGGTTCAAAATATTCAAGTGTCCTTGGAGAACAGAATCGCCCAAGTACAGTACGACCCTTCTCGTGTCACTGCAGGCGCCCTGCAGAGGGCCATTGAAGCTCTTCCACCTGGGAACTTCAAGGTCTCTCCTCCTGATGGAGCAGCAGGGAGTGGGACAGGTAGCAGGTCTTCCAACTGTGGGGCCCCCGGCCCCGCCTCGAGAACCCAGGCGCCGGGCGTGTGCAATACTGTGGTGCTCGTCATTGCTGGCATGACCTGCGCATCCTGTGTCCAGTCCATCGAAGGCCTGATCTCCCAAAGGGAAGGGGTGCGGCAAATATCAGTCTCTCTGGCTGACGGGACCGGAGTGGTGCTCTATGATCCCTCTGTAATTAACCCAGAAGAACTCCGAGCTGCTGTTGAAGACATGGGATTTGAGACTTCAGTTCTTTTTGGTATGTAGTTGAGCCATGTGAAGCACAACCCGGGGTTCTCCTTCTTTCCTTCTTTCTCCTTACGACATAGTGCCTGCAGGGTGGGGGGGGGCACACTCGCTGCTCACTTGTCAGCAGGGGTGACCAAATTCTGCAGCTTGTGTCAGGGTAGAAGAGAGAGAATTTTCTGGTGTGTAGATTTCGCCTCTCATGTAGCTGGGACGAAGATGTTAAGTTCTTTGTTTTTTTCTGAAGAGAACTCCGATTCTGTGTTCTTTTTAAAAAAGAGTCCTGTGAGAACATCAGGGCCTTCTCTCTCCAAAGGAACCGTCATCATATTCTGAGATTTCTCTGCTGAACAGAACAGTAAAAACGGAACCTTGGTCTCACCAGCTGGAGCCCATTCCGTTGAAAGTGGGAATTAAGGAGGCGATGCAGTGATGGTTGCCCTTGCCCTCCTGATGGCTGTGGGAAGAAGTGCGCCTTTCTGCCATGTGCCGGGACCTGTGCGTGGTGGGCTCTCCCGAGAGCCTATGTCATAGTGTGGCAGGAGCCAGCAAGGGCAGGGGACGGAGGCCAGGACGCTGGAGGCAGCTCAGTGTGCTGGGGGAGCCGAGAGGAGCGTCCTGAGTGTCAGGACTCAGGAGGAGGTGAGACAGGCTGGACCTCAGGTGGGCCACTCCGAATGGGCTGCACGTCCTGCTGAGGTTGGACTGTACCGTAAAGGTGAGGGGTGTCAGCGGTGGGTTTTAATCAAGAGGCAGCGCAGGTGAGCTCACACCTGAGCAGGCCAGTCGGTGTCGGTGCAGTGTGGATTGGGGCACAGAGACCGCATGGGAGGCTGGATGAGAGATGATGTGGGGCTGGAGAGCAAGAGATGGATTAGAACGACACCCAGGAGGTTGCATCCAGGAAGCTTGGTCCAGATGAGTGGTGTGATGGGACAGGCTGTGGAGGAAAGGGAGAGCCTGCGGCCAGCGCGAGCTGCGTAGATACTGGAGGACAGCAGAGTGTTGGGTTGAATTCTGGGAGAGTGGGGCTGGAAATGCAGATTTGGGTGGCGGGAGCCGTGAGAAATGACAGAAGGCCGGGGAAA